ACCTAGCACGGCACAGACCTTCATGCCGGGCTTGACACGACCTGTAGGCCTTCATGCCGAGCCGGTCCAAAATCGGGCCGGGCCACACCTCTAGTCGTAACCCCACTTACTGCTTGTGACGTTCCCTGCTCAACGCCACATCATCCCAAGCTTCCAGTTTGCCAAGTGCCTCATACGCATCGGCTTCGGCTTCAAACCCACCGACAGCAGTTAACACTTCCTGTTTGAACTGAAACGATGTCGTTCGGAGACTCTCTGAGAGCTTATTCTCAGCCTAGCTAGAGAAGGCCGCCCTGTTACCTCTTACCTGCTCGCTTTACACCCTCCTCCTACCGTGAGCCGCAGACGTCGCACGTAACCTTGATGATGTGTCCCCTCGGCTCTTATCTGGATTCAACCCGCCACTGTCTTCGACATCTACTACTACAACTTCAATCTCTATGGCGACCTCATATGTAGCAACAAAAATGACTCCTCGTATACTATAAGAACTACCAGGTCTACCACCACTCACCAGCCGAGACCTTCCCTCCTTTCTCTTCCCTTCCAATACCTATTATTCCTTTCTTTTGCTGGTCTAAATTTCAAATTTTCATATAAGATATGAATAAGATTTTAACAAAGGGCCTGATTAACGAGTCTTTTTGTGCTGTTTTTTGGCTGTTTATAACTTAGATAGACTGATCTTTGATCTATTCCCATCTGACTCGCATAAGATCTAGCCATTAAAAGACGAAACACTGAAAAGACATGAGAAATCTACTTTAGATTGATTTCAAGAAGTTTCAAATAGAACTTTTCGAGTCTTTCACGTTTTATTCTTACACAGAAAGACACGAAAAAGATGCAGAAACATCTGCCAAACATACTTTGAACTTCTCAAATCTTCATGCAAAAGTTGAATACAACTTTTACATGTCAAAGCTACAGAAGATCTTCCCAAAAAGGGAAGCCAAACGGACCCAAAATTTCACTTGGGCATAAATATTCACCGCCCTTTAACTTCAAAACGTCTCATATTTACAAAGGATATTATCTAAAGGGCGTTTATATTATTTCATACGCCATTTAACGTCTGTTAACAGTTTTAAATTATTTGACAATTTAAAAAATTTGGATATTATAATAACACGTTTTAAAATTTGGGTAATAACTTGACATTACCCGCTCAGAGTAAGTGGAAGGAGGTTAAGTCTTTTACCCTTTGTTTATAGTAAGTTGTGATATGGTTCGAAGGTTTTAACTTTTTTAGAATGGTGAACGATGGCAAACGGGGTTTTTTTAGAAACCGGTTCGGATTAGGCATACATGGTGAGCAGATTGAGTAAAGAATTGAGAAAATTTTTTGACAGCTGTCCTTTCAGCCCCCAGCCTAACCTTATTCTCTTCTCGCAACGACCGCAGCGCCAGAAAACGGAGAGTCCTCTCTTTGTTCGATTTCACCGGTGGGCTATGGCCACCCAACTCAGAAGAACTTTGTTTGTTAAGTGATGCTTGAAGTTGACACCAAACTCTTCCTTTTCCTAGGGCTTTTCTTACCGACTTCACGCCTGATCCAATTTCGAACATCCGACTCATACCCGACTCTCTCTCTCTCTCTGATTATTTTATCCACCTGAACGGTTGATTCTGACGCCAACAACAATAGCAGCCAACGTTAGAAACGATGCCAAATTGATCTCGAAGAACTGAAGAGGAGGATACTTTAAAGTTTAAACTCTCTCTGTGAGAAATTAAATAACAATAACACCTATGGCTCTTCACTCTGCTGTTGCTCTTTGCTTTAGTGGTGTCAACTCGAATCCTCGCATTTCTTCCACTCGCTTTTCTGGTTCTACGGTTTTTAGAAGTGTGCCCTTTAGAGCAGCATCCTTTTCTTCTCCGTCGTCGCCTCGTCGATGTAGATTGCAAGGTACGGTTTCTGGATGTGCAAAGAATCGAATTTTTAAGTGTTTCATTTGTTCCAACTTGTATGCACATTATCTCGAAATCACCTAAATTTGTTTGCTCTGAGCATTAGTTCATCGGCTGTAGATATTTAAGAGTTTGGGTTGTGAACTTAGTATAGAATTTGTTCTATTCCTGACGACTTCGGATTAGCCAGAGAAATTAACGTGTCTGGATTTTATTTAAGTTCAGAGAGTAGAGTATATTGGCAAGATCAGTCCTTGTGCTGCTTGGAGTCCTCCAAGCTATTATTCTTGTGTTAATGGAATTGCCTCTACTTTGTTTTCTTACAATTAATTAGTTTACTATCCTTTTATATTTTGATTGGTTGGTGGAGGAATTAATGGGTATTGGAGAAAATGGGTCTCGCATATTCTTCTCGAAGTAGAGTGGTTTGGAACTTTGGGTGACAATGTTGCCATTCAATTTTGGTGGTAATTCGGGTTTTGTTCCATCTCTGCCCTTAAACTATCTATGTTTTATTGCCTTTTACTGAGGGTTACGTTTGATATTTCCCATTTTTCTACCATTATTGATGCCCTTACAGCTTGAAGCCTTTGCATGGAGGCTACTAAACATTTTGCCCCTTTCCATGTTAACTTCTGTCGAGCAAGTTATTATAGAACATGACACGGAAATTTGTGAACAATCTTCATCTAAAGTATTTCTATTTGCCTTTCTAGTAACTCCAACTGTACTTAACTGTCTAAACAAGAGTTCTACATCACGATATGTTGCTGCATATTCTGGCGCAGACCTCTTGTTTAGAACAGTCAAATACAAATTTATAGGGGAAGTGGTCTTGGGTGTTTTCTGACAGTGATTTCTTATAACCTGAAAGTGTATCTTTTGATATTTTGTTTTATAATCATTTTTTATTTACTATCAAAAAATATTGCAACAGGTGATTTCAATTTCTAGGTGGAACTTTTATAAGCAGCAGAATAAATAAACATCACAGAGGAAACTGATTCATAAGGAACTAACAAGTTTTTGTCAAAACTATCTAATGATGCTTCAAGAACATGCAACACCCATAAAACCAATCATATGGACACAGAAAAATAGTTTGCAAAAGATCAATCTATTAAAGCTACAGTAAATTGGTCAAAACAATGATATTTTGAGGAATATGGACTGGCATAGAATAAGAAAAGGGGTAGTGGTGGTATGAAAATATAATTGTTGTGAGGATTATTTAATTGTTATTTTACAGTTGCTGTTAGTGTGCTGTCAGCCAGTTAGTTTTTCTTTCTTATAGTTTGTTACTAGGGAGTGCCACCAGAGGCATGCTTGTAATCTCCCATTCCTTTTATATTAAGTTAATATAAATAACTAAACTGGTGGCAGCCAGAAGAGTTTTTTTGTGTCTTTTAATCATATCTTCCTCTTCTCCTCTTTTCCCTCTTCTCGTTTCTTCTCTTTCTCTCTCTCTCTCTCTCCATGAATGATTACATGGTATCAGAGCAAGGTTCCGGGCTATAAAAATCTGTTTCTCCCATCTGAACCTGCTTCTCCTCTTTCTTCTTTGATTTCTTGGACGTGAAAGACAGAGAAACCCTAGCAGGCTACTTGCGGCTCTTCCTTTGGGTTCTTCCTTGGTCGTAACATCAAGGAAACCCTAGCAGAAGAAGGGCGATGCAGTAAAGACTCCCTTCCTTATCTGTTCAATGCTGTGAAGTTAATTTTTGGGTTGGCACCTTCGTACAGGTGCTGGACAGGGTATGTGTTCTTGTGTTTTTTCTATGGCCAATGGTGTGAAGGCCTTACTTTTTGGTTTTATACCTCCGTTTAGATGCTGGACTGTTAGATTGCATGTGCTGTAGTCAAACTGCTAGTATACTATTCTAACGGCTGGTGCTGGACTGATTACTGGGCTGTTTTAATGGCTGAACCATCATTGAGTTGATTTCAGCAGTTTTTTTTGTTTTTTCCACATTCCAAAAGTAAATTTCTTGAGGGTTGGTATTCTGATTGTGGCTGTTGTGTAGTTGTGTGGGATTTGGTCTGATTCAGCAGTACTCTATGGCAAACTATGATTCAACTTCATCGGGGGTTACACCAACCCGTAGCACAACTGGTATGGGAAGTGAAAACATGATGTTTCCCATGGCCATTACCCCTTTAAATGGTCTAAACTACCTGGAGTGGGCTAAAAGTGTAAAACTTTATGTAACAACAAGGGGAAAAGATGGCTACATAAATGGAAGGGTGAAAAAACCCAAGAGTGAGACAACTGAACATGATAGGTGGGACCAAGAAAACAGTATAGTGATGTCTTGGCTCCTTGCAGCTATGGAACCTGATGTGAAGAACTTTATGTGGGCAGACACCGCTAGTGAGATTTGGGAACAGGCCAAAGCCACCTATTCTGAGCAAAGGCATTATGCCAAGGTTTACCAGTTGCAAGCTGAATCCTCAACCTGTAAATAGGGAAATCATAGTTTGTCTACCTATTATTCAGCCCTTACTTCCGTATGGAAAGAATTGGTTCATTATCAAGCTATAGAGTGGAAACATGATGATGATGCTAAGGCCTACAGGAAGCTGGTTTCTCAGCAACGTGTGTTTGCCTTCTTGTTGGGACTGAACCCTGCCTATGAACCCTTGAGAGTTCAGACCTTAGGAAGTAAAGAATTGTCGTCGGTTCACGAGGTATATGCCCTTGTTCAATCGGAAGAAAGTAGGCGGAGTGTGATGGTTACAATCGAGGGGGAGCAACAAGTTGCATTGGCTACAATGAGTAATAACAACATGGGGAAGAAAAGTGACACCAAGAAGGCTGATGATAAAGACAAGTTGTTTTGTACCCACTGTCGGCGCTCACGACATACACGTGACACATGTTAGGACATTCACGGGAAACCCAAGTGGGCAGTGAAGAACCAAGAACAGGGTAAAGGGCAAGGTCAGAAGAAGATGAACACAACACATAATGCAACACATGTGGCAACCCAAGATATTCAGGTTGCTTGTACTACTCAGGACCACCTTACTAATTCTGACCCCAAGGAAGATATAATGAATTCCTTCAGAGACCACTTAGAGTCATATGGTAGGGCTTTGCGACAGATGGATAGTTCAGTCGCTGGTACTCCTTCTACTTCATTTGCATCTACATCAGGTAATGCGCCTTCTGCATTCCATGTCACTATTACCATTGGTTCCCCTTGGATCATTGACTCAGGGGCCTCTAACCACATGGCCGGTAAGCCGAATTTGTTTCAGACTTATAACCTTTTGTCAGGAAGGGATAAAGTGAGGCTTGCAGATGGATCATTCTCCTCCATTGTAGGCCAAGGATCAATATCTCTTCCCCATGGCCTTAACCTGAATTGTGTATTGCATGTCCCTCAACTTCCTATAAATTTGCTTTCAATCAGTAGTATCACAAACTCTTTAAACTATAGTGTAACATTTGCTTTCAATCAGGATCTAACTTATGGGAGGACGATTGGTAGAGGGAGCCTAGTGGATGGTCTCTACATTCTCGACAACAAAGCTGGTCTCTCGGTGTCATCCTCAGAGTCATATATTCAATCAAATAAGAGTCAATTTTTTTTTGTGGCATAGTCGGTTAGGTCATGTTTCTTTTGAAATAGTAAAGTCTTTGTTTCCGGTTTTATAAGTCATGTTCAGTGTTAGAGTTCCAGTGTCAAACGTGTCAGTTGACCAAACAATGTAGAACAACTTTTCACTCAAATAATAAAAGATCAAGTGTTCATTTTCATGTTGTGTATTTTGATGTATGGGGGCCTACTACTATAATCTCTAAGGGCGGATATGAGTACTTTATCACATTGATCGATGACTTTTCTCGCTATACATGTGTATTCCCTATGCGTAGTAGAGACAAAGTTCCAAAGATTGTGAAAGACTTCCAGAGGATGGTATTTACACAATTCCATGTTGAAATATAGATCTTCCAATTAGACGATGCAAAAGAATATTTCCATGGTGAGCTCAATGAGTTCTTTGCCTCCCATGGATCTATTCATAGGAGCTCATGCGCAAGAGCACCACAACAAAATGGTGTTGCAGAAAGAAAAAACAAACACCTCCTTGAGGTAGCTCGTGGGATGATGTTACACATGAATGTTCCAAAAAGGTTTTGGATGGATGCTATACTTGCAACTGCTTATGTCATCAATCGCATGCTCTCTAGAGTGCTGAACTACATGGCCCCTCATCAGTTGTTGTTCCCTCAGTCTCCTTTATTTTCCATTCCCATGAGAGTTTTTGGTTGTCATGCCTTTGTCCATGATTTGTCACCGTCTTGAGGTAAGTTAGACCCTCGGTCCATTCCTTGTATCTTTCTGGGGTATCCCTCCTCTCAAAAAGGGTATTGGTGCTTTGATCCCGTTAGTCATAAGTTTTTTGTGTCTATGGATGTGTCCTTTTTTGAGTTTGAACCGTTCTTCCCTGCTTCTCCTCAGGGGGAGAGTAGTAGTGTGGAAGAGGAGAAGCAGATTCAGGTCCGCCAAGTCTCTCTTCCTTCTATTTTGGACCTTGCTCCCTTTCGTGTCTTCCAACGTACATGTCGTAGAGGTCAGCAATGTGATAGAGATGTGGAGCAGACAAACATTGAGCAACCGACACTGTTAGACTCCCAGGAGGTAAGTCCAAACCCTTTTGCACCTACCGATACTCCTACTCCTATTGTGGATGACCTTGACATTCCTATTGCTCAAAGAAAGGGAGTCAGGTCATGCACCACCAAACACCGCATTACTCAGTATGTCTCCCATGATCACATTTCCCCCTCATACCGAGCCTTTCTATCCGCAGTTGATTGCATCCCTGTTCCCAGAAATGTTTGCAGAAGCCTTAAAATGCCCTGAATGGACAGATGCTATGAAGGAGGAGATTAATGCTCTTCATAAAAATCAAACTTGGGAATTGGTGGATCTTCCAAGGGGGAAAGACCCAGTGGGGTGTAAGTGGGTGTTTACAGTTAAACAGAAG